TACCAGGTCAAGGGCAGAAGGCCTTCCGTGAGCAAAGTCTTTTGCCACGAGGCGCGCCCTGACAAGACCAGGCGCCTTCTGAGTTAAAACCCAGCGTGACTTTATCACTCTGCATCCGGGGTGTTCCTTCTGGTACCGGTCTATCTTTGAGACCGGCAAAGTCCCGGAGCTCCCAAATCCCCGGATTTAATTAATTTATGGTTTTTTTTCGATTTGGTACTTTTTGGTTTTTCGAAATATTTACGAAAAATTTACGACATGCAAATGACCCCACAAATCATTTTCGAAAAATATACGAAAAATATACGAAAACCAATCCAAAATAAATACGACTTCGAAACCAGTCCCAATGTCTTTGTTGTGGAGCCGGCAGATCACAAAACATGTTCGAATGGAAGGTATGGAGAGCGATGGAATGGGAAAGCGACTAACTTTGGCTAATGATTAGAATGATTAGAGGAGCGGCTAGTGCTCATCAAGTTCCCCTCCACGTAAGGAACACTTGATTGGCAGCAACTGTTTGTGACACTGTTTGTGATTTGTAGGTCTCTACCTTGTGCTGCTATTGCCTCCTACCTTCAGCCGCTAATCCATCAGAAACTGCCGGACACAAGGGCATCGCACATGCGAGAGGAATCAGCGGGCACATTCAAAGAGTTAACTCTTGGTCGCACGTGACCGGCGTGCATAGCGAAGCTTGTTCCTAAGAGCCCAAACCCCCAAACCCTAAACCCCTAAACCCCTAAAACCCTAAAACCCTCAACCCTCAACCCTAAACCCTAAACCCTAAACCTCTAAACCCCTAAACCCTAACCCCAAAGAAAGCCCATCGTGGCTTACTATAACTTCGGGCCTAGAAGCTCCTGGTCTCATTTCGGTACAGCAGCCCTCTTGGGCCCCTGAAGAGTATGCACGGTTTAGGGTTTTAGGGATTTAGGGGTTTAGGGGTTTAGGGTTTAAGGTTTAGGGTTTAGGGGTTTACTATCATCTCAGCCTCTCCCTTCCCATCCTATTCGTCCGATCCCGCCCTATCCCTTCCTGCCTCTTCCCGTCCCTTCCCACCCCTTCCCATCCCACCAGCCATCAGCCTAGTTTCAGTGGCAAACATGGCTGGGTAAGCTTGGTATGTGTGTTTGCGCTTCGGTTTGTGGCTTCATGCGAGTTTCCTTCTCTCTCTCTCTCTCTCTCTCTCTCTCTCTCTCTCTCTGCCTGTTGGCCCTGTCTGACTGGACTGAAACATAACACAGGAAAATCAAACTGCATTTGCCTCGATGCGGTCGTCTGCAGGTAAGGTAGGCAGCACGTTTTGCTGCTGCAGCGGCAGAACACGGAGCCCAGCCGCATGGAAAATTTGAAGTCTGGAGCAGCCTTTCGATCTGGAGTGTAATCTAGAGTCATCTAGTCCAGAGTCGCTGCAGTCAGCGTGGTCCATGTTTTTCCAGGATACATGTTCAGAAACTTTTGACGGCTCTTTTGGGATTTGGGGTGTGACGACAAGCTCCTACGCTCAGGATGACACAAACACAGACACAAACACTGACCGCGTGCCACTGCTTGCACGCTGCTGGCCCCCTGGGTTCTCCGGCCTATGACTCTTGACCCTGACCCTATGGCTCTATGTATGCCCTATGACCCTATGAGCTCCTGATTGCTATTCAAGGGTACTGAGACGACTCCTGGGCCGGCTGCTACTCTGCATCCATCATGCAACCTTTGGCTGCACACAGCACGTAAGTACTTACCCATAGGATCTTATAGAAGCTACGGCTTGTCTGGAACAATGTGTCCGGAGGCTGTCACTTAAACATACAGAAACTTATCACAGAGCCCCTATGAGCCGCCCTGTACCCCTAAGCCCCAAAAGGCGCAGCATGAAAAACGACGGCTTGGCAGTGGTTGCACAAGCTCACACGATCACACTAGTCTCACTAGTGATTACTTCAGGAGATCAGATCACGCGCAGCCTGCACCAACTGGGGCAGTAGCAAACTCTCCTTGACCAGCTTCCCTGTGATGTCCCCTAGCTGAGATCGCACCAATGCTAGCTTGCGCACTTTATTGGTGGTGTTCAAGGCCAAGCAAATCAGACTCTCACAGACCAGGGCTTTGGACTCGTGGTAGACCTTGTCACAGGCTATGAGCTTGTCTCCAGGTCACGCACGGCATCGGCGTACACGCAGGCTTGCTCGATGAACTTTCGGGATTCTTTGCACGCCTGATACAGGCATGGCACTGCTGGAGGAGTGAAATCTTGGGTGGGGTCAACGTGCGGTCGGTTGGCGGCAGTGGAAATCTTAGACCCCAACAGATAAAGCCCTAGACTTAGTAATAGACTCTAGAGTCTAGACACAATCCAGGCTATTGACTGGCTGGCTGTTCACTACACATGTGAAGTACCCTGCGGCTGGACGTATGTCTAAGACCACGATTCTAACATCCAACAATAGCAATGCCCTGACCGAGTGTCGAGCACAGCCTGAAACCTGCCATGAAAAAGGGTAAGCACCAACTCGACAGATCCAGTATTGAATTTTTGACACGCTAGCTGCTAGCTACTTTCAGTACAGCGAGAGTACGTAGAGTCGTAGAGTTGTGAGCTTAGATCTTCAGCTACAGCTACAGCTACTGAACACTGAACAACCCACGAAAATCACTACTACAGTTACTACAGCAACACAGTCATTGCACAAAGCGGTCCTCTCCAAGCTTTGATGCGGCAGCGGCAGCCACATCACCATCGAGTGTCTCGAGGGTTGCTTTGTACGCGGCAAAGATATCATCCATGGTGCTCTCCGGGCGCAGCGTGTATTTCCATGAATTTTCATTGCTGGCGCCGAACTCCTTTGTGAGCTCCAGGATCTTCTCACACATCTCATTCAAGTGCTCGATGTGCTTGACGGCCTTCAGGCTGACAACATCCATCAGGACAGACTGGCTCAAGAGGGGCTGGTACTGGCCCTGGATGTCGAAGTACAAGAGGGCGGCGTACTCCTCCAGGTCCTCCTGGCTCAAACCAACCTGTGCATCGGCATTGCTCTGCAGGGCCTTGCGCAACCTGATGCTCGCTTTCAGGACTTGTGCCAGCCGCACACCATCTGGATCTTGCTCAATCCTTGCTTCGGCATCTCCATCACCAAGCGCCCATGTTTGCCGCCAGTCCTGGCCTGCTTGCATGGTCTCCAGTTGGCATGCTATCCAACCCTTCAAAGGATGGGTGCTGTTCTTCACAATGACCCCCAGCTTCAAGGCAGCCCCCATGACACGAGCATCAGCAGGAGCTTCGACTTCAGTCGCCTGCAAACGAAATTGATTCTTGCTTTACATGCTCACGAAGCAAACTAACCGAACCACAACAAACCTTCACATGCCGTGCTGCTGCTGTTACTGCTAGCCGGCCATGTTGCTACAACTGCTGCTATGGCTGCTACAATTGCTGAGGCTTCAATCCTATAGACTCATAGACCCTTAAGCCCCTCACTTCTCCTACTTGGAGGTTCCACAAACACCATAAATCCTAAACTAAACCATTAATTAAACCCAAATCCCTAAACCCTAAACCTTAACCCCTAAGGCCCTAAGGCCCTAAACCCTAAATCCTAAACAGGTCCTAAACCTTAAACCCTAAACTGGCCCTAAACCCTCGAAACCCTTGGCCCTAAACCCCTACTTGGAGGTTCATGGGTAGGTATAAGTGGGGTTAGAAGTAAGGTAACTATAGTTACTATAGTTATAAGTTATAACCCATACTAGGGTTACTTGGGCTAGCGGCTAGGGGATTCATAACCCGACTTATAACTACCCATGAGCCTCCAAGTAAACCCTGAACCTCAAGTCCCATTAAATCCCATAAACCCGAAGCCCGAAACCCACCCTGAGGCCGAGCCCGGCAAAGAACCGAAGCTTCAGTTTTTCTCATCGTAAGCTTTTTGGCTTTAGGCTTATGTATAATGTAGAGTGTAGAGCTAATAATGAGCTTCGTGGCCAACAACAAACATCACTCGAATCACTCGAAGTGGCCTTGACCACGCCAGCGATGCATCGGAAGACCCAGGCAATGCCGTGGTTCACGTCCTTCTGCTTGTCATTCGAAAGCTCCGCGATGAAGTCATTCGAGCAATTCCAGCACGCCTGCCATGCATCCACAAAGCTGCTGATGTTGCTCGGGTTCATATTGCTCTGCAAATCGGCTGGGAAGCCCCTGCAAATCTGCAACAGCTCGCAAGCCACCAAGGTCTTCTGGGAAGACTTCCTCCACTTGGAGAGGTTGTCCGCAAGCTTGCTGACACCAGCCGACCCTGTGAACATGCTGAGGCCCGACTGCACATGCTTCATGGCGTTGCTACCCACGTCAACCGACCCCGGCTCTGCCTTGAGCAATGCCTTGACCCATGAGACAACAACCGCCTCCAGCCTCTTGAGTGCACCTGTGCAAAGCCCTTCACGCATGCTGCCCTTCATCTCCGACAGCTCCTTGCACGCCTGGCAAAGCAACTCTAAGTCGATCCTGAGAGGGGCGTCGGTGTCCATGGCCTCCAGCACTTTCTCCAACTCTTGCAGCCTGGGGAATTGCTTCTGTGTGGTTTCACCTCTGCTGAGCACCTCATCGTACATCCGGACCCAGGGATTTGCCTCGGTCTCGGCCACATCCCCTTTCTGCAAAATGACCGTCTGGCTTGTCAGGCAATCACGAAGGGCGCACTCCAACATGTCCGCCCCGCGGTACTTGCGAACACTGTTGATGTCGGCCGGGGAAGAGCCCAAGTAGTTCGGCTCCGGATGCAAGAGGGCCACCATGCCCAGGTACATTTTGCGCAGCCGCTCATAGCAGTTCAAGATGCATTCTGGGTACTCAGTCGCAATCTTCTCCTTCACCTCATCGGTGTAGCCCTTGAGGAAGGCTTCACAGAGCTTGAGCAGGTGATTCTTCTTTCTCCCAACGTTCTTCACCAAGCTGTAGAACTGGTCCGAGCACAGAGCCTCCATCAAGATCGCAGAGAAGTCCTGGTGGAATCACAGGTCAACGATCATGTTAGCCGTAGCGACTACGTGGACTACCTGGTGACTACCTGATTATAAACGTGCATGGGGCCTACCCGGGCCTACCTGGCCTACCTGTTGATTACTGGCTTCACTTCAGAGCTGCCGATGTGCCTCACAACAAAAATATCTCAAAAATAAATCTCATTGGCCAGTCCTCATAGAACTCATTGAGTTGCTCGGTGGCCTTGTCTTGCGACAGCTTACCGAACTGCTTCTTGTACGCGATGTCTTCCTTGGCACCCTTGATCACCATGGATGCACTGAGCTCGACCTCCGAGTCACTGGCTTTGTCGGGCATCCAAACATGCAGTCGCTGCATGTACACTTCCAAAGCCTTCATGAAGGCCTCAGAGGTGGAGTCTTCGATCTCAAGTGCATCAGTAAGCAGGTCATTGGCCAGCCGCTCTAGCAGCTGCTGTCTGAGATCTGTCGGCAACGACAAGTTGGCATGGCTGATGGCGGTCAGGTGAGAGAGAAGCTCGGCTCGGGGCACAGTGCTGTACGCTGGGCCGTGCAACAAGTTGTCCAGGTGTTCCACAAGAATGATTCTGTTCTTCAGGGTGGAGGCTTCCTTGTTGCCATTCTTCTCCATGGTGTCCAAGATTGTCCTGGCCTCACAACATACTAAGACACTAAGATACCAAACCTGCTTCAGAATTGCAACATTCTTTCGGACGCAGTGGGACCAGAATAACGACAACTAGGAAATCTGCGACTGCTGCTACACTAGTTACTAGTTACCGCAAATCTGAAGGTTGCCGGCTATGGAGGTTAGCATGAAGGACCCACTGGCACAAATTTAGGCCAACTGAGTCTGCAACCCCTCGTATCTGATGCCCTGCTGGCTTGCGGTTGATGAGGTTTTGCTCTGGGTTCATGTTCAGGAAGCAGCGGTAGAATCGACCAAGCTTCGAGACCACGCTCTTCAGAGGCTTGTCCTCCGCCAGCCAGTCCGGCATGTTGCCGTCGGTTTCCTGCACCTCGGGCTCCGGATCTGGATCGGCCGACTTTGCAGACTTGCGCCTCCTCTTAGTCGGCTGGGGGCACAACTCTGGAGCAAAGGCAATTCCGATTGCAGGCGCTGCCCGCCCACCATCTTTGTCTAAGTCCACAACCGCATCATCCTCCTTGGGTGATTCTTCTTCACCCTCACCCTCATCCACCTCCTCGGCCTCATCAGCCTGTTCCTCAACTTGCCGCTCCTGCAAACAGCAGGGTGGCAGGGTCTCAAGCTGAATTCTAGACTAGACTGACTAGACTCTAGACTCTAAAATTCTACAACCATACCATACCGTATCCAAGGACGGGAACCTGGCAGGCCTGTTCAGGGACTAAACATCCAGAACGGGCATATACCACAACCCAGCATCAACTAGTAACTAGTAACTAGACACTATGACACTATGAAACAAGAACTTGTCAGCCTACGCACCTATTATGGGGACCTAGAATCAATAAAGCCAATAGAGCAGGTAACTAAATTCTGGGGTCCCGAACCTAGCAAGACCTAGAATCGACCTAGAATCCTAGAAATTTGAGAATCTCGAATCGACTTTAACTTACACAAATGTAAACCTACGTAGCTTCACCCAAGGACTAGGCAGGACACCAATAGCAGTAGCAGAAGCGAGGAAACCAACTGAGAACGACCGTTTACACACTTTGACACTTTCTCGGGTCAATGAAAACTGGGCCTGCAGGCCTATCCCATCTATCATATGCTAATCAAATCTGCGAATCATGTCAACTGTACGGCTGTACATGTCTACATTGAGGCAGGGAAAGGGTGAACCCGGTGAACCCAGTCCTGCTCAAGATTCTTGGCCTTGTCCATCATGGCGTCATAGGTCAGCAGCTTCGATCTGTTGACTGTCCTTAAGGCACTGTCCTTCGTCTCCACCGCACTGTCACACACGTGATGGAAAAGCTTCAGGCCTTGGTCCTGTGTGATTTGGTTCTGGGGTTCAAGGTTGTATGCATCAACCTGGTTGGCAATCCTCCAGACCAGTTTGATCTTCCGAACCGCCCCGCGCAGCTTCGATGGCATTCCAAGAAGCGAAACATAATACCCCTTGAGCGTCTCACCGGGACGATCTTCCAGCTGCACCGTTCCTGCTGTCAGCTTCAAGGCCTTGGCCGTGCTGCCAGTGAGGTTGGCCACTTCGCTTTCCGACAGGAAGCCAACCTTTGTGTACACTTCCCTGCTTCTGCAGATTGTGGAAAGCACTGCAGAAGGGGGGTTCCATTTGGACTCGGTCTGCATCACCTTCTTCTTCTCTGCACGTGCAGCCTTGAAAGCTGCCTTGAAGACAGGATCTTTGTGGAATCTGTCACTGGACTCCTCCCAGCTGCTGTTCGGCCAGGCTGCGACTGCAGTTGCCATGTCCATCAGGCATCCATCGCCTATGGGTTCTCCTCTGGCATCCGTGGCCCCCCACTTCTCATCCCCAGTGAGGTCCTGATCCAAGAACGACAGTGAACTGGAGAAGGGCAGGTGGCCAGCTACACTGAACGTAACTAAGGCCTAGACTCCTAGGATCTGTAACCTGGCAACCATGGCCTATTGAACCTATTGAAAGCATCTGGCATCTCAGCATACAGTTCAAGATGCAACAACTTCTGCTCAGTCCCTGCAACTCCAGTCAACTTGTCCAGACTCTCGACTCTAGACTCTAGACACTCATTCAACTCACTTCAAAAGGCTTGACTGCTAGAACATTAACCATGACCAGGCTCCCAAATCCTGAAGACTGAAACCCCCACATCATGTTCCCCGAGTGGTCCTTCGGGCTGCGATTGCAGATCCGGCACACGCTCCATTTGACAACACGGGGCTTGCTCGTCTTGCTAGCAGCCTTGCTACCATCTTCTTCCCAGGCTTGGGCTTACGCTTGTTGTTGGAGGCCTGCTTCGGCTTCCGAAGCTTCTGAGATTTCTGGTGGCTTGCCTTCTGAGCAAGCTGGTCCTCTTGCGGCTGCTTGCTGGGAGCAGCCTTGCCGACCTGCGACCCTTCAGCATTTGGAGCGCTCTTCTTCTGCTTCACAAGACTCAAGCCTTTGCTGCTGAGCACCTGGATAGGAGGACAGGGTTTCCAGGATGGGATGTTGTATGGCTGCACTGTCTACAGTGTCTACAGAGTCTACATTGTCTACATTCTACATTCTACGATTCTACACTTCCCTCACTTCACGTGAGCACAATTCAAAACGTCGGAACACGATGAGCAGCTGCTTACTCATGGTCCTAGTGTAGATAGTGTAGAGGGACTCTGTTAGATTTGAACATATGCTCCTGCTGCTTGGTGCGACAACGGCAAGGGGCCTTGGAGCCACTGGACTTCACAGAAGCTGCCTTCGCCGTGGGTTTCTTGCCCATGGTGGGCACGAAAGAAGAGGCTCGCCCAGTCTCTTTGCGCGGATCTCTAAGCCTCTAAAGTGGCCTTTTGAGGTGCAACACACGAATCACTGTCAGGACTTTGGACAATGGACGCTGGGGTAGACTCTGGGGACTGGGGCTCACGAGCACCATGAGCAGTGTTCTCTTGTGGCACTACAGAAGGTCCCCGCAGCTAGCATTTGAATCACTCAAAGCCCTTTTCCTGGCATGCACAACCGCATCATTGTCAGTGACGTGCACTCGGTGTTGAACCTGCCCTGCCCCTGCCATAGCTAGGATGAAGCAAGAAGAAAATGGAACCGATGACTCTGTGATCAAGTACTCGGTACACTGCTGATCAAACCCAACCAATGTGCCACTTCAAACCTGTCGACTGAAGCACAGGGCTATAAAGCAGGACAACGGGAGTCTAACCTGCCACTGCTACTGTACTCCACTACTTCGCCAGTCAAAATCGAAGTTCCCTGAATTGTGTCAATGCACCGCCACTGGCCTTGTCCGCGGACAGGGTCGATCTTTAAGTGGACAGCACCACTGTTGACACCGAGTCTACAGTGTGTCTGGAATCAAAATGAGCACACGACATTGGTAAAACTTGCCATCTCTACCTGTTCAAGACTTGAGGAATGGTGGCCAATACGTTCCTAGCATGAGCAGCTCCTTACACGTCGAACATAACATGTGACTTGATCAGAGCAAAGCAGAATCAGGCAGTAGTAGTCATAGTCACTGTTAGCAGTTAGCCGCTCCAGTCTTGAGCTGGTGCTTGTCCACACCCCAACATGTGGGCCACCAGCGTGGGTTCTACGAAGAAAAAACAAGATGCACAAGCAGAAAAAGAAGCTGCCTAGCAGCCTAGGGCCTAGCAAGCAACCATGACCAACATCCCCAAATCGCTGCTATGGAACATGTTGGCAACTTGAATATACGCTTCTAGGGGGCGAGCTTGACAACACACAATGCATTGGGGTACATCATACCTAAGCAGGTGAAACCCAGTCGAAACCCTAGTCACTCTAGTCTAGCCACTGAAGTCCCTAGGCCTAGGTGCAAAAGCAGCTTCCAGTTGCAAGCTGAACCTGATTCGGGGCCCACGGCCGATATGGATCCTGTCCTGCTTCCATGACATGGCATAGAGGCATCACATTACTATGGCTCGTCCGCATCGAAATTAAAAAGCATTACAGAGTTTATGTTCATCTAGATTCTTATCTTCAGGACAGATCCCGGCCTAGCTCTGCTCCGGGCAGCAGCAGCAGCAGCAGCAGCAGCAGCCAGCTTCTAGCAATCTAGCTGGCTGCTACCGCTAGCATTGCTCGAATCTAGCGGAATCTAGCAAAACTAACCAGAAAAAACAGCGAAGCAGCCTGCCATAGAAACTTGCCATGGACTTCCTTCCATGTTGAAGACTTCTGCAAGCCTAGATGGCCTAGATTGGCCTGCTGTCTGAGGAATCTAGAGACACCTGATTACACCAATCTAGGACATGTGACTAGACGAGTAGTGACTAGTGACTAGAATCACTAGAATGACTAGAATAGAATATGACTACAGTGACTACAGTGACTACAGTCACTAGAATCACTAGAATGCAGATTCTCTTGCCATCCAAGAAAAGTCCATCCCTGGCATCTATGGATCTTCCACTAGAGTCACTAGAGTCACTGGAGTGGAGTCATCACTCCAAAAAACCGAATGAGTCCAATGGCCACTCGAGAGTGACAACTGGAGATACTGTCCGATCCTTTGCGCCCAAGGGCCCTGCGGTTCTAAACCCAAACTGCTTTCTTGTGCAACATAATGAGAGGGAAGGGTTCTAAGAGTCGGGCAACGGCAAACATACACAGAAAGCAAACACCCTGGTGCCCTTGGGCCCTAGGACCTAGGACTGGATCCATGAGCCTGGCTTTGAAACACACACAAGCTCCACAAACATGTCCCCAAACACGGCAACGCCATGCCCTGTCCTGCTAGCTTTCGCATGGCATGCAGCGTGACTTCTTGGGGCACCTGCAAAGACCGTGGGTGTCCTTGAAGGAACATCATCTCACGTCCACTCAGGATCCTCTTCCGTCCTACATGAACTAAAACAGTCGAGCTGCACAGAGCACGGTGCAGGATCTCTGAGTCTGCATCAACTTTCGTGTAGCTGCTTCGGCTAGGGTTTTGGCTCACATCAACCAACATGAGCCGGGCTGCCTTTCTGACAGACCCCGGTTTCTTAGGGATCTTCAAGCTCTTCACAGTGGAACACATGGCCAAGTTCAAGACTGTCATGACACGGTCATTGTGCTGGAGGCCACATAGCTTCCAAGCGGTGACTTTCCCTACTGCATCGAACGTGCTCGACAAACCCAAATCATCACGCACGGCGACCTCTTGGGCTTGCCACCGACTCGCGGCCTGCCGTGGCAGCTCGAAGGCCTTCCCCTTGCCGCCGTCCTGTCCAGGGTGCATTCCATGGATTAATTGAAGCCACATGAAAACCCTAGCGGCCCTAGCAGTTTGATGGTGCAAATCCGGGGTCAGGAAAAGGTTGTCGAGCCTGGAGATGGGGGGCTTTGAGGCTTTGTTCTTGTGGCTGCCGCCAGGCTGTCAGGCACACGAAACCCGCTGATCCGAAGGTTTCCAGGACCTTTAGATAATTGGCATCGTATTGATTTTGTAAAAAAATCGAAAAAAAATCTCTTTGGTTTCAAGGATTCCGAGTTCCTGGGTTCAGCAGGTGCTGCAGGATGGGCTGGAAATCGTAAAAAAATCGTAAAAAACCATAAAAACCTAGGGTTTTTATGGTTTTTTTACGAAAACGGGGCGCCTGACACCCAAAACCACTGATCGGGCCTGAAACCATAAAAAAACCATAAAAACCCTAGGTTTTTATGGTTTTTTTTTCGATTTTTTTACGATTTGGGGCCAAAAACTGGCCTTCGTGCCGAAATTCCAGCAAAATCTGAAAAAAAATTGAATTTTCCCTAGAAATTTAAAAATTTACGAATTCTTCTCCAAAAAAATATATTGTTTTTTTTCAATTTTTCTTCGATTCGGCCGGTTGCAAAACCGAGGGCCTGCCAGTTCTGAAACCCCCCACACCAACCCAACGGCTGGCAGCTGTACGACTCTACGTGGCCCCCCACAGGAAAGTCTCAGCCGGCTCCGGCCCAGTGAAACAATAGGTTCGCAGATAAAGGCAAGCTCCCCAGCGAGACCCAGTCATTCATACATGTCACCCAGCAACTGAGACCTCCTCTGTTCTAATCCGATGACTCCAGCGACTCTAGCAGCTCTAGCAGTTTCTGAAATGACTGCACCAGCAAGATGCACACTGCATAACATGGATTTAAAGTCATGTCCTGCCTTCTCCATGTCGACTAGATCCTGCGCCAGTCGGCTGTCCTTCTCATCGAACAGCAGCCGCTCGATGGGCAAAGCTTCACATTCTGTCTGCCGGCCAAGCACATCCTGCAAACCATCATGACACTTCCAAGATTCTAAGACTTATAAAATGCTAAAGCTCTCTGAAGCACTATGCCACTATGCAGTGGCATGCATCCCAGGCATCGACAAAAAGTGTGTTCCAGATGAATCCGCAAACACTGACTCATGGTGACCTATCATCTCTGACACACGCAGCTCCTACAGTCGTCCAGTTGACACAGCCCTGATTTCAGCACATGCAAGGAGAACCTTACAACTGTTCTGAGTCTCTTGAATCTCTTGACCATGCACTGCCTTCACCAGTCCATCGATCTGCAGGGCATCCTCATAGGTGTACAGGTCCTTGCGCAAGAACATGACGTAGATCCTGCCAGAAAGCAAAGGAGAACCCCAGTGACAAAAGGACCGACCTAGCAATGATTTGTTGTTCTTTCGAAGATTTTTGCGAGTGTTTGGGACAACCCAAGGAGTCTAAGTGGAGGCGGTCAATTCTTGGAAGGTTTCGGTATCAAGTTCGGCTGGGCTCGGGCTCTGGGGCTCTAGGATTCTAACCCTCTA